TTTTGGAGGCGAATGCCTGGCTCGCGGGGAGCCCCGGACTCCTGGGGGAAGGTTAAGTGGAAGGAAGGGCCGGCCAGCCTCTGCTTGGGCGAAGGGACCACCCAGCCAACTCAAGTGTGGGTGTGAAGGGCTTGAATGGAAGGAGCTGTCCTGCAGGATTTATCACTCAGCCGGGGAGAGGGAGGGTGCGAGGCTGTTGAGAGCCTTCAGACCAGGGTAGCTCTAGTTTTTGCAGCAGAAGAGGAAAAGCGCAGGGGTGAGTAGAGCGGGGAAAGGCAGCAGGGTGGTATGGAATGAGTGGAGAGGTCAGGGCAGCTTGGAAACCTGCATACGTGCGTGCGTGCGTGCATGTGTGCATGCGTGTGTGTGTGTGTGTGGGTGTCCACATTTCCTTCCAGCTTGCCACTAACCTGCTTTATGACTTTGAACAAGTCACTTCCCCTTTCGCACAATGAAGCCATTGGAAGGGGACCCGAAGGCGCCTCAGGGGGCTGCCTCGGAGTAAGGGGAGGGGAGCCTCCCACTCTCCACCTCCTGCCCTGTGTACGTCCTCAGCCTGCTTCATTGATTGTGTTTTGTTAGGAAAGCAGCACAGCCACATTCTCAATCATTGAAAGGCAACAGCTCCGCCTCTCACCAAAAGCCCCAGCCCACTCCCCAGCACCTTCAGGCAGTAAGACAGTAACTGCCTTTTGGGTGGCTTTCGCATTGGTCTCCCCCCAAGCCCCCAATGTCTATGTATTTTCACATCTCTAAGGTATACCTGTAATGTTGCATACTGGTGTGTGTGTGCGGCCCCCCCCCCCACTTTTACGTAGCCACCCCAGATCATTGTTTCTCCTTTTAACAGAGGAACGAAAAAACCTATATAAACATTTGTGAAGTGAGCTTGAGCCTTCAAAGCCAGTCCCTTCATAATTTTAAATAGAGAACTGAGTAGGATGGGGGAAATAATCACGGCCGTACGTGCTTTCATTTTCAAAACACTCGGCAGTTGGCAAAGCATGCGAATATCCACAATCTATTTGATCTGAAGAGACCACAGTTCTGCCACCCTGAAGCTGCTTTTTGGGACATTGATTTTAAGCTGCTTACAAAAGACTCAGAACCCTTGACCCTCACCCTTTCCTGCCCAAAAGATTCAGACAGAGAAACCTGCTCCAAAAAGGCGATCTTGGGCTGCTGCCTTCGCCTAATTTGAATTAAGTACGGTACACAGGCGGACTTTAGGCCGGGGCCTGTCAGCTAGAGACCCCCTTGTGTCCCTTGTTGGAGAGGCCTAGCAAGGATTTTCCTGCCATGTGTATTCTACTCTTCCTCAGTCACCCATTCTCACTTCTGAAGTCTAATACCCTTTCTTCTTCATCCAAAATGTCATATACCCATGCTGCCCCGCTGGCTTGGGAATTTTCATGCCTATGTGAATTCCCTGTGCCCCAGTATTAAACTTTGACTTTCTCCTGTTAATCTGCTGAAGAACTTAGAGACAGAAGGAAAAATGTTAATATATATTTTTTTTAGCCCCCACAGATCCCTTCAACAACCCTGGAAGGTACAGCAGACGTTATCATCTTCGTTTTCCGGATTAAACTGAGCCTCGGAGAAGGCAAATGACATGTCCGTGCTCAATCTGCTACTGGGTGGTGGAGCTTGGGTTCGAAGCTTCACCGTGCTCAGCATGCCTTCCCATCTGTTACCTCGTGGACTGCCTGCCCCCATTCCTGACATGCACACCACTTGTTCCAACAAATGATTAAAAATTACCCAAGGACACAGATCCGAGAGCAGACTTGGGACTCAGATTCTCCCTCTCAGCCCGGGTTGCACGTCTTCTTGTTTTCTACGTAAAAAGAACCACTGCTGCCTTTCCCTCCAGGTTTTCTATGATTTTTTAAAATTTTAAATTGATTTGAGAGAGAGAAATATTGATCGGCTGCCTCCTCCTGCACAGTCCTACTGGGGATTGAACCCGAAACCCGGGCATGTGCCCTGACTGGGAATTGAACTGGTGACCTTTGGATGCATGGAATGACGCTCAGCCACAGCCTCAGCGGCCAGGGCAGGTTTTCTATGATCTGA